TTCAGTTTCACTTAGCTATCAATGGTTAAACCTGGACACAATCTTGTCAGATATAGATGTCAGCACAGACACAAGCTTATCCATCAATGTCAACCAGGACACAAGCTCTTAATTGATCAAACCATTTGGCACGATCAACTATCAATGTCAGCACGGACACAAGCACTTAACCAATCAAGGTCAAACCAATGGGCATGATCAGCTATCAATGTCAGCACGGAATCAAGCACTTCATTGATCAATGCAAAAACCAATGGGCATGATCAGCTATCAATGTCAGCACGAACACAAGCACCTAATCGATCAATGCCAAACCAGTGGGCATGATCAGCCGCCAATGTCTACACGAACAGAAGCACCTAATTGATCAATGCCAAACCAGTGGGCACTATCAGCTATCAATGTCTACACCGACACAGGCACTTAATTGTTCAATGACAAACCAATGGACACGATCTTCAACTCATTCATTAAGAACAAGGACTTGAATACTCTCTCTCAGTAATCAAAGCGGAGTCTCTATATTCAACTAATATATTCGAGGTTTATATTATTATTATTAAAGATTTATTCACACACATTTAATACACATACATATATTACATTTTACATATATTAATGGTATAGTAAATTTGTTTTGTTAGGAACTATATTAGATGTATTTATTATTATTCACTCTCATAATCTCCAATTTCATAAACCTGCTATTTTAAAGAAATCTATAGTCAGCCTTTTGATAATTAATTTTTTTCAGGAATAAATATATTGCACTTAATTAAGTTGATTAAGGAGAAGTATCAAATTTTGGTAACAATAAAATTGTAAGCAATATTTAGAACAATTCAGCTTTTAATAAAAACATGTTCTAACTGCATACAGACTTGTTCAGCATATTATTGGGTGTGAATACATTCTAGATTTTTATAATAGACTTGACATCCACAATAATCAAAGGTTGTAAACATAGAGAATAGAATATATAGAGAGGAATTTACTGGCAAAAAGTGTAAAACGGCCATTTTGTTGTACTGTTTCCATACTGCAGGTGTACTTCACATATTTATGCCATATAACCTATTGGGCCCTGGAATATCATTTTATAGAAAATCTAAAATTATTGTTAGAAGAAAACCAAATTATGAAATAGGCTGGTTTCATAATTGACCAATGATCATTTCACATTACAAACGATGATTTTCCGTTATAACTATAAATCAAATGATGTTTTTATTCACCTAATTCATTATAAAGTTTATTTAACAGTTTCAAAAATTCGAAATTGAAATGGATAGTCTAGGGAACATACTGTATTAATGTACTCTACCGCATATAATTTGTGAACATTTACATGATTTGTACACTTTGAACTCCCTTTCAGGCTGAAAGGGACTGAAAAAATTCATACCGAGAGATTCTTTTAATTCCTCTCTATATATTTTATTCTCTATGGTTGTAAATCCATTATGGATGTTGCAGGTAGACTTGACATCCACATTTCGCACTCATCAAAGGGTCTAATCCAATTCTTGTTTCTAGTAGACTTTTAACATCTTCAATAATCAAACGCATGTAAACGCATTCTCGATATTTCTAGTAGACTTAAAACAGATAAATAGGTACATAAATATATATATCTAATTATCTGTTCACATCTCTCTGTATATATATATATATATGTATATAGGTAGATAGATAGATAGATGTAAACATATAGATAGATAGGGATGTTTACAACAATAGAAAATAATTTCATCCCTATTACTGTGTACAGGGGTCCAGGGTCCGCTGGATTAATTAAGTTTTAAAGCAACACATCACATATTGGTTTACTGTAGGTCCAGGTTAGAGCATTTTTTAATCTTTAACATGCATTTTCTGAGATTAAGTATTCGGACCCCTCCCCCTCCTAAAATTTGTATGCAACCTCATGTGACTATGGGGGGGGGGGGGGGGGTCCTAAGCGGCCGTTCCGGGATGGATCCAATTGTTGACTTTCTATAGATTGGACGATATGAACGAGCTATGTTTATCTGAAACGAACAATGCCAAGTGAACAAACTATATTTATCTTAGCAATCTATGTTTATTTGAACAAAATATTTTATTTATACGAACTTTGTTTATTTAAATAGAAATATCATTTTAACTTGAACAATTATCAAAAATCCGAAATCATGGTATATATTCGTTTACCTGAAGGAAAATATATTATTTTATATGATAGTTCATCTACCGTAAAGCAGAACTGGAAATTTCGTCACTTTTTTTTAGTTCCGTTTCCAATAAACAACAGAACCACTTAAAATGTTATTTTAGTCAAATGAGGGACATATCGTCGTTTTTATCTTAACCCCGTTAGATTCTGACAAACTTCTTTAAAATCTTTGCTGCATAATTCCGCAAGTTACCTAAACATAGAAATTAAAATAGATGTAATCAAGTTACGTTAAAAAAAGCGTCAGGGGTTCTTCACAGATAAATAACTTAAATCACAGTGGATTGGCTTACATCGAACGTTCATTGATCACAGTGATCTACATATCTTGAACCACTGTGAACCAAACACCACGACATTGCACAGTGAGCTGAAGACGATTTATCTTATTTTCAGATAATACTAATGACTACAATCTCTAATGTTTATGATGCCACTGATGATGAGAATAATAATGATAAAATTAATGATGATGATGACAAACTTATAATAATGTTGTTTCTTACAAAATTCTGTTATTTGTCAAAATTGAAGAAGATTTTGAAAAAACTCTGGTCATTCCCTATTATGATCAAATGGGCATAGGTCCTTCCAAACTATTTCTATCTATCTACTTGAGAATCTATCTATCTATCATCTTATTATTTCTATTTATCTATCTATCTGTCTGTTTTTCTTTTCTTTTCTTACAAGTTTATAAGCTTCAAAACTTAAAATAACGAATAAAATTCTATCTTTCTATCTGAAATTTCATGAAGTAGCTTTTTTGTTGATTTCTATCTTTTTATCAGAAATCTATCTATCTATCTGAATAGTAAATACCCATCTATCTATCTATCTAACTGTGTATCTGTCTATCTCTAAACCCATGAGTCAATTCGGATAAGACGTAACACAATCTTTTGTGCATCGATCAAATCATATCAAGATGTATTTGGGTGGCTTGGCTAGGACTGGGAATCGAATCGTTTTCACAGATTTTAGGCCGACATTTCTCGTAAAATTATCCATATACAACATTTTGAAAGTCATTTGTGCGTTTGAATAAGTTTTTTGTTGTTGTAAATTTTGTAATTTTCTTTGACGGAGAAAAGTAATAGTAAAAAAATGTTGTAAAAAACAAAAAAATCTAAAGTTGTAATTTAACTAAATACGTTTCTGTTTCAAAGCAGTTGTTGATGAAAAAATGGCAGTTAATAAAAACGAAACATTTTTAATAAATAAATAGAGTATATTATGATAAAAAACAATTTATTTTTCGAATTAAGTTTTTTTACACCGTTATTAAATTTTCACTTTTTTGTAAACAAATACGTAAAATAAAGGTTAGTTTAACATATATAAAATTTAGAGAATGTTGATGTTTTTCCTTTAAAAAACATTATAACAAAATAAGTTATTGCTATTAGTATTTTCAAATAAATTATTTTTATTATATATTTGTTACTATGCAATTGGATTAAATAGTTGTTAAAAATAGTCTTTTTATTATATATATTGTTGTTATATATTTGTTACTATGCAAGTGGATTAGGTAGTTGTTAAAAATAGTCAAACCATTTTTATTTTTATAAAACATTTATACTTCACATATTATTTTTAAGTAATTTATTGCTTGAAATTATACAATAAAATGTTTTTTTTATTAAATATAGATAATTTTGATGTGTTGCTGATCACCCCTTTAACTATGGTGGGCTATCAAATATGGCTACAGCTGTTTTCAATGCCAAATTTAATTGAAATAATTACCAAATCTGTTAGTTAGCATTTTAAACAGTATATTTAATGTATTACTAATTTGGATTAGTTAAAAACGAAAGTGGCCTAATTACATTGAGGTTGTACTAATTCGAAAACGTTTATTTTATAAAAACAAAATTCAACCAACTATTAAAAAACGGTTTCCATAAATAAACAAAAATTGTAAAATGCTTAAAACATTTCTGTTGTAAATTTTACAATCCTGGTTTATTATGTAAATAAATATTGGAAATTATATTATAAGTTTTGTAAATATAGGATTCCGATGGAGCCCCCACCACTACACCCCCCAACCCCAGCAGACAATGTACCCCGGCCCCCATATAAAATTAAGATATTTCTTTCAATCAGTTGTTTTCTTCAAAACTGAGAAACGAAAACAATGAATTCAGCCAATGATGATAAATCAGTGATAGCCAATTCGCACAGAGTGTTCAATAGATCGATCCGTCCTTGGACAGTTTCATTAGGTCGAAAGCAACGTTAAAACAATTTTCAAGATGGAAATCCCAATTCACATCGATACCCTTTATCTCATCAACGATGTGAATACCGTAGTTTTTTCTCCCATTCAGTCTGGAGAAGAAAAACCACAAAAGAAATTAATGATTGTTTAAAAAGTAAAACAATGATATCTAACTCCTTCTTGATCGGATAAATTTTAAAGTTATTGTTGTGAATCGGACATTATAAATTTATAAATGGATAATCACACAAACTGTGTTGCCTAAGAAGTGCTTGAAACAAAATGTACTTTGATTGAAGCCTTAAATATTAAAAATAAGTTATATTGCACAGTTTGGAGAATTTTAAAAACTTCTATTCCTGGAAAATAGTTTGCACACATCAAAATACTTACTCACCAATCATTTACATAATAAAACAAGACATTCACATATATGTTGCATATAGCCGGTCAAACGGTATGACCGCTTGAGCTGAAATTTTTTGTGGACACTCATGAGTGGTCGGGTGGTGTTATAGGGTAATAAAAATTCAGGTAGTTTTACCCCCTTACAATAATAAACCACTTCCCGTTGTAAAGGTTTGGCATGACACACTCCCTCCGCCGTCATCAATCCCAAACTATTCTTAAGTTGAAGATGAACTAATATCAACCATCAACCATGAACCACAGCCGTATCTCAAGCCAAATATAATCTTTCTTGTACACACATCTTCTCTCAACATGAATTAGCGGATTTTCCATACAGCACTTTCGGGGATTTTCTAGTTTTCATTCAATTTCCCGCGCTAGGGCTGAAGGTCAATCTGAGAGCATATGCACAAAGGAGGCAGGGAAGAGGCCGCGTTTGTCAGGTTCAGTTTCGAGGACACCCTCCATCCAGTTGTCGTCCTCCGTCTCCTCAGCGAGAATGATGATGATATCACCCTCCTCGAAGGTTAATTCATCCTCATTATCCGCCTCGCAATCGTAAAGGGCTCGACATCGCTTCTTGTATCGTTGATAATTATCTCTCTGAAAAATCAAAATTAAATAAATATTTCAATGATTTTAAACATACAAAATCATTCAAATTTTTATCAAAATCATTGCATGACAAAAACAAACCAAAATCCAACCAAATTATTTATAAAAATATGTGGTATTAAATTCAATGATTCCAAATCTATGTAGGTGTATCACAATGATTAGACATATTTAAATCCATATCTTCCTACTCATCTTGAATATTCAATATCAATGTAAAAATAAAAATCCTGACAAGAATTTAAATTAAAATGCTAGATGCTTCCGTCATTATTTGGAATTTTAGCATGATATAAAATATATGAATTCTGATTGGGGAGCTGAGCGGAAATTGGTTTTGTATATTTAGATTATACACATGTAACATTCAGAATATTCAACTTTTAGAGACTTTAATAGGCATATTTATATGCAGACAGGGCTTAGAGGGGTGACAAACTTTGTGAGTGCTGAGTACCTCCCCCATTATACCCCCACCACTTCCCTCGCTCCCCTCAATTTCACACATTTTTTTATTTTTGTAACAGCTCATAAAATTAAATTTGGAAAATAATAGAGTTTTATGGACAAGCAGTTGGATCCTAATTTTTGTGTTTTTGTAACATTTTTTGAAGGGCCCGTTTTTAAGTACCTCCAGACAAGTCTTTAGACCCAAAAAGAGTCTTTAAAAAGCATCCGAAATGCAATGTATATCAAAACCAGACAGAAAGTACAAACAGGCTTATTGAGTAATCTACATTTCTTCTTTTTCCATTTTGCTTCTACTCTTTAAACTCATNTGTATACAACAAATTAACGCGTTACCTAATACAAAGAACATAATACAAGTATAGTGGAGAAACTATTCAACAAAGTTATTCAAGAGGACCTCTCTCGTTCAATTAATAAATTATTTAACGCATATTATCATTATTTATAAAATAAATAAGTATTATATTGCACTACAGATATGTTTATTTTTATAAGAAATTCAAATCTTAAAGTTAACGAATCTTTACTTTTAGAGCTTTATTCTATTTTATTATCGTCTTAGAAATTAAGAACAACTTTTCTTTAATTATTTTTTGGCCATGAAAATGTGACATTTTTTGTGAAAAAAAATAACCAATTTCAATAAAAATTTATTTAAAATAAAGAATTAGTGTGAAAGTTAAAGCTTTATATAAGATCGTTCTTTCAGTCCCCTTTATGCATTGAACCCCGAGAGATTAGTTAACCCCTAAAATTATATTAAGTCTCATAAACCTAAAGTTATGATCCTAAAACTATAAACTTCTGCTGTTAAGCCTAATCTTAATCCTATGTGAACATACATACACATGCACACTGAATAGCAAATTGACTCCCTCCCCTCCCCCCCATTGCCCCATTTGGGACCCCCCCCC